TGGCATGAAGGTAAGGACACCTTGAGACAAGGGTTGTATCAACTACAATCAATCTAGTATCTAGTTGATACCTCCTTGAGCTTTTCTGCACGGGGCTTGTAGAGGTGGGGTGTGGGTCAGCATTTTTGGGGCTGGGCAAGAGCTTGCAGCACGTTCAGGGTCATGCTGGGGATCCAGTTAACCTGCTGGGCACGAGCTTGGGGGAGAAACCCCTTGGCCAGCTTCACTTGCTTAGCCCCTGGTGGCAGTGAAGTCTCTGAGCTGCTCAGGAGGGTGTTGAGAGGGGAGTACATGAAACAGCAGCACTAGAAAAATGTGGTTCTGGCTGCAATAAAGCACTAAAGCTGCATGCAACCTACTGTTTTTAAGCAAGGGGATAGTTTCTGTGAGTTTCTCACCCTCAATTTATTATTCCAAAATTAAAGAAAAACTTTTGGAAATAAATTCTGAATTGAAGGAGGGGAAATGTCCCATGAATGCTCCCTCCATGTGTGTACCTCCATGTGGGCTGCAGTGAGAGATGGCAGCTACAGTTGCCTGCAGCTTACACTGAGCATGAGACTTCCTGCAAATGCCTCTCCAGGTTTCTTTGGCTTTATCTATAAAAAACAACCCCCAAACCCTCTGTGGCTGTCCCAGTCTGAACTCGCCACATCTAGGGAGCCCATCTTGCCCTTTGTGCTGCTTCTCTTGTTGGTGAGTGGTCCTTGGGGTCTCTCTTGCCTCTCCCCCCCAGCCTCCCCTTGGCCAGTGGATCACTTCTCTCTTGTGTCCTTGTTCCCCTCAGATCATGGAGATGGCAGCTAAAGGGATAAAGCCAGTCACCCTGGAGTTGGGGGGCAAATCCCCCCTTATCATCTTCTCAGATGCTGACCTGGAGAATGCTGTGAAGGGAGCCCTCATGGCCAACTTCCTGACTCAGGGCGAGGTGTGTGTCTGTGGGGTCAGGGTGGGGCCAGCCTGACACCTCCTGGAAGTGAGGGGTGCCCTGAGCTCCCATCCTGCCACTCCTTTCCCTGTGCAGTGTCAGAAGGGATGCCCTTGCAGGAGCCAGAGCAGGGTGTCCCAGCAGTGTGCCTTAGCCACAGGACACACTTAGCCAGTGGCCTGTCCTTCCCAGACATGGAGCCTCCCTGGCACCAAGCACCCAGCTCAGCACAGCTGCTCCTGTGCCCTGGGCACCAGTCTGGCACTCACAGGGCGGGGGAAGCTGTGCTGGTGTCCCCTGGAGGGGCAGCAGGTTCCAGCCTGGTGTGCTGAGCCTGAGGACAGGCTTCTGTCCTTCCCAAATTCGGGATATCCACCTGTGCTGCAGGTTTTGTGTAATCCTGTTGGCAAATTTGCTCAGCAGGGTCATTTCTAGGAATTCAGGAGTCAGCTCAAGGTCTCTGCTGCTGGTGACCTGATGCCTTTTTGCCACCTGGTGGCATCAGAACCACAGTGTCCAGCAAGGACTGTTCAATACAGTCACAACCCCAGGGTAATCTCCTTGTGCTCCTTGTCCCCAAGGACAAGTTGGCTGTTGCAGCAGCTATGGAAGGGCTTTTCCAAGAGCCTCTGGAGCAGGACCCGAGCAGGGAAGGACTGTGGAGTGCTGTGTTTCCTGTTCTGAGCTGCCTGTCCTGTGCCCCAGGTGTGCTGCAATGGCACCAGGGTGTTTGTGGAGAGGAAGATCCTGGATACCTTCACAAAGGAGGTGGTGAAACGCACCCAGAAAATCAAAATTGGAGACCCTCTTCTGGAAGACACACGGATGGGAGCCCTCATCAACCAGCCCCACCTGAATCGTGTGCAGGGCTTCATCAAGCAGGCAAAGGAGCAGGTGAGATGGTGATGCTGCCTTGTGCCTGCCCTGAAATGCCTCTCCTGTTAGACAGACACACTGCCAGCTGCCCTCCTGCCCTGTGCCTTCCCAGTTAAGCTGGGTTTTTTTTCTGGTTGTTTTTTGTTTACTCAGTGGGTGTGTTGGACCACTAGATACAGAAGTCTGTGGGATCTGATGGGATGCATCCTGGGCTCCTCAGAGAATTGGCTAATGTAGTTGCTGAGCCATTTTCCATGATACTTGAAAAGTCATGGCAATCAGGTGAAGTTCCAAGTGACTGGAAAAAGAAAAACATCCATTTTCAAAGAGGGTGGTGGACAGGAGCCTGGGAATTACAGACCTGTCAGCCTCACCATTCTGACTGTGGAACAGATCCTCCTGGAAGTTGTGTTAAGGCACATGGAGGACAGGGAGGTGATTTGAGCCCAGTACAGAGTGCTGCACCTGGGTCAGAGCAACCCCTGCTGTCAATCCAGGCTGGGGCATGAGGAGATGGAGCAGCCCTGCAAGGAAGGACTTGGGAGTGCTGGTGGATGAGAAGCTGGACATGCCCCAGCTGTGTCTGCTGGCACCCAGACACCCCCAATGCCCTGGGCTGCATCCAAAGATGTGGGCAGCAGGTGAGGGGGAATTCTGCCCCTCTGACCTGTTCTGCTGAGACCCCACTTCAAGCTCTGGAATCCTCAGCACAGGAAAAACACGTGAGGAAAGGCTGAGAGTTGGGGTGGTGTAGCCTGGAGGGGAGAAGGCTCTGGAGGCACCTGATTGCAGGATTTCAGGGCCTTATAAGAAAGAGGGGACAAATGTTTTAGCCAGAGCCTGCTGGGATAGGCCAAAGGCCAGCCAGAGCTGGGCAGGATGCTGCTGGATGTGCCTGCATCCCTTCCTCTCCTGGCTCTTTTGCAGGGGGCAGAGGTGCTGTGTGGTGGGGATCTGTATGTGCCAGATGACCCGAAGCTGAAGAATGGCTACTACATGCGGCCCTGTGTGCTAGGTAGGATCCATCTCAGGCATGGTGCCATGGATGTTGTGGGATTCCTCCTGAGAAATGGGTTCAGCTTTGTAACCTGGCTCTGTGATGTCCCCAGTGTGGATGGACACTTGGATGGGGGTCCTAGGGAGAGCTGAGGCTTCCAAGAACTGCATGCAGGCAAATGTGTGCTGTTGGAGGGCCTGACAGAAATGGTGCTGGTGGTGCTTTTAGGGTGCAGGGTGTGCTCTGCCATGCTGGGTGCTGTCTCCAAGGCTGTGTGGGTTGCTGAGTGCACAGGCTGTGCTGCTGCTCTTCCTCCTGAAGCACTTGTGCTCTGCCACGCTCCCAGGGAACTGCAAGGATGACATGACGTGTGTGAAGGAGGAGATCTTTGGGCCTGTCATGGCCATCCTGCCCTTTGACACGGAGGAGGAGGTTCTGGAGAGAGCCAACGCCACTAAATATGGCCTGGCAGGTGGTGTCTTCACCAGGTATGGCTGGGCAGTGTTGTGGAATCACTCTGGGACAATACTGCAGTGATTTGCTGCTTCTCTTGCAGGGCCTGGGCATGGGTATCCTCTTCCAGAAAAGCTGAAGCAAGGCACTGCCAATAGGGAAATCTGTGAATGACTGCACACCTCCCATTTTTTCCCAAAGTGTTGGGTGGGCCCAGCTGTCCCTTGGGTTCCTCCCAGCCTGGCTTGGCCTGCTGCCTGCCTCCCTGCCCCTCCAGCATGCATCAGGAGCCTGCTGTGCTGCTGCTGGCTACTTGCCCCACTCCCTATTTCTGGTGTCCTTGTCCTGCCCTCTGGAATCACTTGGAGCATCCTTGGGAATTGGTGCTGCCTCCTTTGAGCAGGCAAAGACAGAGTGGGGCAGGCTGCCCTCCAGAAAGCAGCGTGGCCTGCTGGCCTTTCTCCAGTGGCTGTTGCCCTGCAGGGAAGGAGGGGATCCAGCTGAATTGCCCTTTTTCCTGCAGGGATATCCAGAAGGCTCACAGGGTAGTGGCTGCTCTCAAGGCTGGCATGTGCTTCATCAACAACTACAACGTCAGCCCGGTGGAGCTGCCTTTTGGGGGATACAAGTTCTCAGGTGAGCTCTGTGTGACCTCCCCTGGCACATGCCATCTCCAGGGGCTGTGAGTGCCCACTGGCACTGCCTGGAGCTGTGTCCTCACTGCAGCTCTTCCCTGCAGGATTTGGCAGGGAGAACGGTCGGGCAGCCATCGAGAGCTACTCGCAGCTGAAGACTGTCTGTGTGGAGATGGGGGACGTGGAGTCTGTGTTTTAGAGCCTCTGGGGAGCTCTTTCCTGCCAGCCAGAGGTGTGGATCATGTACACAGCAATAAAGTACCCTACAGTTGGCAGTGCCTGGGGAAGCTGAGCTGGAGCAGCGTTTAGCCACCCTGCTCCTGCACGGGGGTGGGACACACAGGGCTCAGCTCTGACCTGCCTGCTGGACAGTGGGGAGCTCAGAGCAGGAGGCACCAGGCTGGATTTTGGCAGCAGCTCCTGCAGCCACAGAGGTGTACCAGAGGCTTGGCAGTGGCCAGGCCCAGGCTTCCCAGGCTGTGTGCCTTGATTCCCATTGCCTTTCCCCCTCCATCAGCTTCAGTTCTGGCTTCTCCAAAGGTAGGATACTACTCAGTGCAGGTCTAAGCTCTTGGACACAATGGTATCCTGTAACCACATAAAAGCTGTAAGTGCAGCATTGTTTATTCCCTCTAGACCCTTTGTAACCTCAAGGTTTTTTTTTTTTTCTATCTGTACTTTACTTACAAGTGGGATAAAACATTGTGGGGAGGGTTGGCTGATGCTGCCTGGGCCAGGCATGGCCCTGAGAATCACCTCCACACAAGAGTGGTGGTGAGCTCCAGCACAGAATAGTGAAAGCTATCTCACTTCCTTCCTGTAAACTTACTGTTCTTTATACACACGATGAAGCAACAACTTCAATTGTTTGCTCATGCCTTTTTTTAGCATTTAAATAAATACTTACTCTGGAACATCTCAGTGTGACATGAATTGAAGGGTCTGTTGCTGTGTGGGTTAAATGAGCTGCAAGGTGGCTTTTTAATCACTAAAATCATAAAAGCTAGGAGGAACATCTCTGCCTGACAGCCACATTTCTGTAGTCCTACAAAATCAGAGTAGCTCTAGCATTCTGCATAGCTTCTTAAGAAACCCCTCTGTAACTTTAGAATGAAAATACAGAATAGACAACTTCCTTTTATTGAGAAAGAAAAGGAAAAAAGCACAGGAAGCCAAGTATTCTAAAAGAAAACAGAAGAAAAGTCCTTTTAGCTTCTGCAGCTGTGTGGGCAGATCCAGCCCAGGTGCTGGCAGGCTGAAAAGATGCCTGTGCCCATCAGCCCAAGGAGTGCCACGGAACCAAGAGCCCCTCTCCTTCGGTTTTTGGGATCTGGAAAAAAAAAATCAGGATTTGTCAGTTCACTGAAAGACTAGTCCAGCCTGGAGACTGAAGAGGGAGCAGGAACTAAAGGGAAAAATAGCTCAGGCCTCTGGGTAGGCAGGCCTGCTGGATGAGAGCTCTTCCCAAGAGCAGGAAGAGCGTGCTGCAGTGTTGGCAGCCTGCACCCTTTCCTCCACACCTGGGTGGGAGCAGTCCTGAGGTCACTGGAGGAGACCTGAGTCTCACCAGTGTGTGCTGCAGGGTTCAGTCCTACCTCCTGTGTAGTAGCCATAGGCATAGAGGAGCCTCCCAAAGATCCAGGCCATGCCAAGCCCTGTGGCCAATCGCTGCAGAGAAAGGAGAAGCATGAAAAGGCTTTGCAGGCTTGACCAAAGTCGTGCAGGCAACCAGGTGCTCAATCTCATTTCAGCCCTGGCCAGACAGCCAGAGCAAGGACCAGGATGGTGGAGGCAGCTGCTGCTCCAAGCCCTGCTCCAGTGCCTCCAGCAGGTGTTCCAAACTTCCACCTTGACCCTTCATTTAGAGCTCACTCCAATGTGGCTCCCATTTGGCAGATGTGCCTATGCTGCTTCCTTCCCTCTTGAAAAGGAGTCTGTCTTCAGGAAAAACCTAATTTGTCTTTTGATGGCAAAGACAGAGCTACTGGATTTGGCCTCTCCCATCTGCCTGTCTCCTCCCAAGTTGTGTGCATCTTTCAGTTAAAAATAACCCAGGCTTTTGTTGACTTCCTTTGGCAGGGCTTGGAAAAACTGGGCTGAAGTGGTTCTTCCCACTCAGAGACTGGAGGTTGCAAATGCTTTGCTTTGTCTAACAAGGCATCTTTAGGGGAAGGGCTCTAATAGCTGAGACAGCAGTAATGAGTTTATTACTTGTGATTCTCCTGCAGAAGACCTACAATTAAATTATAAGAAGGGGCACTGCTGTTAAGTGTGATGTGGCTCCTGAAGGGGCTGTCTTGGCCTCCTGCCCCCCACCCAGCCCAGGTCAGGGAGCCAGAGCAGAGTTCTGCATCACTTACCGGGTGGTAGAGCCCACCAGTGCCTAAAAAGAACAGGAAGGCAGGGTAGACTTCCAATCTGAAAAGAAAAGTGAGGAGGCTGTGTTTGCACTCAGGTTGCTTATAAAGACAAAATTCCAGAAGGGCAGAAACTGCAAACATTCCCTGCCAAGGGCATTTTGGGCTCATCATGAGTCTCTGTGCTCAGTGCTGTGGCTGAGGCAAGAAGGGATCTGAGCACACACAGTTTTAGGGGCTTCCTCCCAGCCCGTGCCGCTCTCCCAGGACACCCACCCACTCTTTCCATTTTGTTCCCTAAGCCACTCTAAATATTCCCCAGGAGTTGTGCTTCCCAGCACCCCTCTGACATGCTGTTGCAACCTGTCCACAGGAGCTGGGTGGACTTGGGCCTCTCCCCAGGGAGATCTGGGCAGCACAACAGATCAGCATCTTCTGGAAACAAGATTCCTTATGTCTTAACATCTACCCATGGAAGCAAACTGATGGGAAATGGGGAAGAGGAGATGGCTTCACAGCACCATCCCACAGTTTAAGGCATGGGAAGGGGCCAGCACAGCCTTCCTGCTAAGCCCTGCAGGGCTGAGCCTGGATCAAAGCAGTGGCAGCAGCACCAGCAGCACCCTGTGTTCCAAGGCCCCTGCTCAAAGGTGTCACTCACGTGTTCTGGTGTGCGCGCTGGATGCAGTTGAATATCTGCCCGTGTTCAGGGTCTGTGCTGTACATGGTTGGGTACTGCCAAAAAACAAACCAGCAGCATAGCATGAGCAAGCCAGGCCTGCAGCTCCTCTCCCCAGGAACCCAGAGCTGCCTGGGTGTTTGCAAGGCCAGCCTGCAGAGGCAGGTTAGAGCCTGTGCCTGCCCCAGAGCTCACAAAAGCTCTGCTCAAGGTCACTGCCTTCCTGGAGCTGCTGCCTGGCTGCAGAGGCTTCCCCCGGCCTCAAATCCAGCCCTCTGTGCACCACACACCCTGGGTACACTTGCTCCAGTCCTGACTGGATGCAGCAGGAATGGGCTCACCCCAACAGGCAGCTGGAGCTGCTCTCGTGCCCACCCCTGCTTGTCACTTCCAGGAGTGAAGTGGTGAAAGAGCAAAGGAGCAGTGGTTTGTGCTGAAGCCAAGTGGCACAGCAGCCACTGCATGCCATGGCCCTGACTCACAACTGTCCCCACCCAGCCCACAGCCCTGCCTGCCACAGAGGCTCCCCGACAGATGCTGAGGGAAGGTCACCTGAAAGACTTGTGACAGCGCTCACATGCTCCCCCTGAGTCTGAGAAACCCTCCTGTCACTTTTGTGCCACTACAACCCCTTTCCCCCCAGTGCTGCATCAAGACACATTTGCAGGGAAAAAGGGCTGAGCAGTTTCTTGCCCATCAGTGCTGCCAAGCTCAAAGCCACATACTTTCAGCTTGGTGCCAAGCACCTGACGTCCCAAATCCCAAGCTGTGTTATGCTTTCTGGAGAGCCATGGCAGCTCCATCCCTTCTCCATCTAGGTGGTGTGGCAGGAAATGTCAACAAGCCACTCCAAACTGATCGAGGTGTCAGCAGCCTGGCCCCACACCTTGCTGCCCTCACTGAGCACTCACCTCCACACGGTATTTCTTGCGGGCCTTGCCCACGTTGATGGCGAGGTGCATGACCATGACAAAGCTGGCAGCCCCGGTGAGCATGACGTAGCCATATTCCTTGGAGAGAACAGCCATGGTGGTGCTGCCAGAGAAAGGGAGCTGTGAATGTCTGGGGAAGTGGCAACACATGAGATACGTGCATGGAGAGTTGCTGAGCTTGGGCCCCAAGAGCTGCCAGCACAGGGATAGGCTGAAGGAATTTGTAACTTTTGGAGCCAGGAGTTCTCTGCATAGTTCCTGTCAAGCAAGGCTTAAAATCACCTAAGAATTGGTGGGAAGTGGTGTCTGGAGAATCTTAGTGCAGCCTGGGCAGAAACTTGTGGGTCTTTCCAGCCCCAGAGCTAGGGGCCACCAAATGAATTCAGTTTATTTCCAGCCCGTTCCCTACAAGAGATGTTTCTTCATGCACTGGGAACCACACCTGTGGAACTCCTTGCCAAGGGACATTGTGAATACAGGCACTTCTCATAAATTCAACAGGAAACTGGGAATAAGAGGTAAGTTGAGAGTTAGAACCTGAAAACAGAAATCCCCTGAGCTGGAAGGAGCCGGGCTACATCAATGAGTAATTTGTACTGCTAAGGTCACCCTTATATAAAATACTAATAAAACCCACCACCACAGCAATGATAACTGAACTTTTGGATAAAGAGCCACTGGCCAGATGAGCAATGCTCAGCCCTGCAGTGCCTAGGAAGCCTCTCAGAGTCACAAACTGGTGAACAGCTCCAACAACACACAGCTACTGGCACTTACAACCATCTGCACCAGCGGCCAGGGGACACCAGGGCCTGTGTGGCTTTCGTTTAATGGTTCTGTGCTCTTTCATGCAGGCCTGAGACAGAAGCATGGGGCAGAAGGTGCATCCTGCAGCCTCTGCCATGCTGCCCTACATTAGACATTCTCCCTCTTTCCTGCTCAGCAGCCCCACAAGCCTGCCCTGCTGCACACAGAGCTCCACAGTGGCTCCCTCCCTGCTGCCAGAGAGCACCAGGGCCCTTCCCCACAACCATCCTCAACCCCAAACCTCAGCTGCCTGTCTGGGTGACCTTGGAGGGTGCTGCATGACACAGCCCAGGTAAGACAGCAGAGACCTCCCTCCAGCACCGAGATAATGCTCCCAATCCAAACCAGCTGGTGCCTGTCTCCAGATGGTGCCTTCATGATGTGGTGAGGTTTTGGTGCCTCCCTGCACTGACCCACCAGCACAATCTGTCAGTGTGGAGAAAAACAGGGAACTGCTGCAGTCTTCCTCTGGCACCCCTCACAAGGGATCTATGGGGACTAGGGGGTTTTATTTCTCATTTACAAAGGATTATCATTGATGGAGCAAGGTGAAGACAGCAGCTGGCTCTGTCCACAGGAAGTGAGGTAAACAATTATCAGTAAGAATATTAAAACCCTGAAGTAATGAAGAAAAGCCAGCTGCATGCACCTGTCATTGAGGTTAGCACCTGCCAGGTGACACACTGAAAATAGAACATGTAGAGCAGGTTGGTGGTCACATTTCCCCCTTCAAATTACAAGGTTGTTGGAGAACCAGGCATTTTATCTTCCAGCACTAAGTTATAATCTGGGGGTTTATCTTGGGAGCAAAGAGCACGGCAAGGCATTAAACCGGGTGTGTCATAAAACTGCTCCTCTTACACTACTGATACCAAATCGTACCTCAGACCTTTGCTCTCGTAATTTAGTGCCATATAAAGCACTCCAAAGTCACCAGGACTCCCACGGTCGTTTCCGGATTGCGACGCCCGGAGCGTTTCAGCAACCTTTGCCCGCAGCTGCACGGGCTTTGCTGTCACGGCGCACAAAACTCAATTTCTACCTTTTTACCCTGCGATGCTTCCGGCTGGAGCCACAGGCACGAGATTTTGGAGCATGACACGGCACAGAGCGGCAGCAGAAAAAGGCTCCTTGCCAGCTCTGCCACAACCCTGCAGCTGCTGTGAGTCAGCAAAGCGCATTACGGCTCCTTGAAGAGCCCCACGCGTGGATTCGGACCGGATTAGCCGATGTAAGCCCGGCCCTGCCAGCCAGCAGAGCGACAAAAGGGGGCCGAGCCCTGCCCAGCCCGCTCCTCCCGCAGCCCCCTTCCCCCGGAGCCTCCTCCCGGCTCCGTTTTCCATCGGGACAACCTGCCCCGCGGCCCCGCACTCACCCTCAGCGCGGCGCGGCGCGGAGCGGGACGGAGCGGGGGATGAGAGGACGGGGCCGGGATGAGGACGGGGCCGGTGAGGACGGAGCGGGGGATGAGAGGACGGAGCCGGGATGAGGACGGAGCGGGGGATGAGAGGACGGGGCCGGGATGAGGACGGGGCCGGGACGAGCACGGGGCCGTCCCTCCGCAGCACCGCCCGCGGGCGGGGCCGGCGCTCGGCCAGGCGCGATCAGTCTCTTGCTGCGAGGGAAGAGCGGCGAGGGGATGGCGCTGGGTCTGCCCGGGCATTTGCCGTGGCGCTGTCGCCCAGCAGCTCTGCCCGTGCCCCCACTGTTATAAATGAGAAGGCCAATATTCAAGCAGCAATCAATTTGTTAATTAATATGGTAAAGTATGAGCAATACAGTGCGGGGGAAATTTTCCCTCCAACTGCACGCCGATAGTTGGGGCTTACAGATCTTTATAGGGGTACTCATAAGCTTTCCCAGCAGTTTCTATTCCAAATTTTTACGTCACAATTCTATACACTATTGTGATTTAGTTTTTCTCAGGATGGATCCCAGAAAGGAGTATCCCCAGATGGTGGGGTCCAGCTTCTGAAGAAGTCTCCCAGCTGGTCAGGTCCAGACTCCAGATGCGGGTTCACCTTTTAATTGCAAGGACTATAAATCTCGTCACAGTGATGTCCAGCTTCCCTTGGTCGAGACTATCAATCCTTGAGTTGATGTTCATCTTCCTTTCTCAAGCTGCTTTTCAATATTTTGTTAAGGCATTGAGATAAGCATGTTTCCTTTTTATATATTCTAAAGCTATAGTTTCAAAGTCCCTTACTACAAGCAATATTCTAAAATTATACTTCAAAAGGTTATTATTGCAAAACTCTTTTTAGCTAGAAGCAGAAAGTTCCTGTCAAACAGCAACATCCTTAAAGCTTTAATTCAAATGCTCCTAAATCAACTTAAGACTTATAAATGTTAATTGTAAACAAAGGATAGGCTCAAAGGCCTTCTTCCATGCTTTACTTCCTCAGTTATTTATTAGAATTGTCTTTATAACTGTGCTACAGTCAGTTTCCACACATATCCCCATCACAGATACACACGTTGCCTGTATGTACCTGACACAAAACACAGCTTTGTATTTCACACCAGCACACAGACATCATCATCCTCAGCCCTGCCCCAATCCCTTTCTGCCACTTTGCCCATTATAGCTAAGAGCTCTCAGCTCTGAGTTTGGTAATTCACACCATGCTTGCTGAAATCCCCTGGTTCCCCCTGTTAGCTCACCAGACCCTGCAGTGTGGTTCACACGTGGAGTTGCTGTGCTGGGTCATGTAAGCAGATACTTCCCTTGGCAATTCCCAGCGCTGGTGGTAACAAGGATCTTACACCTCCCTGTAGACATAACTCTGACATTTTGGTATGGACACACAACCCATTTCAAAGAATATTTGGAGTGTGTAAGCAATATTTTTACTTTATAAAACATTGCAGTTTTAGGGTTGCGTGGCACAAAAGCAGAGCTGGACTTTGCAGTTCTGTAAATGTTCACCCAACGGTGGAGGCACAGGTGATGTGGCTGTGCTGCAGGAGCACAGAGGGTTCTTTTGCTGTCACCAGTGGGATCCTGGGCTCCTAAAAGTCCTGGTTTTAATCTCTTTGCCTTTCCAGAGCAGGAAGTTCTTAGATTCCCTGGGGCTCTAGCAATGCAGTAATTCCCTGGAGCTCCAGCTGCGTAGGCTGATCCCTGTAAGTCCTGCTGGGTTTTTTGGCCAGGAGGGGCCTGGTGACCTCCTTGGCTACAGAACAGTGCCAGGACCTTTCCCGTGTTTCAGTGCCTTTTCAAGCCAGTCCTTATGTCCCTACTGTTCTGTGGTCTCAAGGTAGGGTGGAAGTGGAAATGCCTGGCACTGTGCACACCTCTCACAACTGCCTAAAATGAATATTTTGCCAATATCCTGAGTCCCAGTGGCAGAAGACTTGGCAAAGAACAGCAAGTGAAACTGGAGCACAGCAAGTGAAACTGGAGCACAGATACTTCCTTCTCTTGCAGTTTTATTTCACTTACCAAAAAAAGAAACAAAAAAATCTAGGGTGGGACAACTTGGGAAATCAGGCAGGAAGGGCCTGCCTTTGGTTCCCACAATGGGAGTTTAGAAGGGCTGATTCTAAGTGGCTGTGTCTTCCTCCTCCTCTTCCTCTCCCTTTGAGGCATGGGCCTCATAGATGACAGCACAGACGCCGGCCAGCCAGGCTGCCATGGTGCCAGCAAGGAATATGCAGAAGCCAACGAGGCCCAGAAAGACATAATCCTGCCTGTGCAGCTGGGTCAGACAGCTGAAGTGGAGCTGTGCCTCTGCTGCTGGCATCCTCAGGGCACGCAGCCCTGCTGGGCTGTAGCAGGTGATGTTGTCAGCATCTGCAGAGAGACGAGCAGAAGCAGGACTCTCTAGCCTGTGTCATGATTTAATGAATAGGAGTGCTGCTAGAAAAATTATGGGAGTGCTTGCTAAAAGCCTGAAAAATAGCTGCAGACTTCATGCCCTCCCTCCCCCCACCATGGCCTGGGTAAAATCTGACAGCCAAACTCGTGCCAAACCTGTGCTAAACCCTTGCCAAACCACAATTCCCAGGTTGCCAGAATATTTTTTGCAGTGTTGGCTCCACAGGATTATATTGCCCACTGGATTATGCAACTGTGGCAAACTGCTGTCCCTGCCCTCCTCATCTCTGCTGATTGAGCACTTTCATCTTCATGTAAGAGCACCTGTGTTGTTTTTTTTAAATCTCAAACACCTTCTGAAGTGATACAGCCTAAATTATGCTGGAATAATGAGTCTGCTGTGGGTTTGACAAGGAGGGTTGTTTGCAGTCATGCACAGCCTTACCTGCTCTGTGAGGCAAGCAGAGGCAACTCATCAATGATTCAGTTCCACTGAAATAACAACCATACCCTGTCATATTGCAATATCTGCAGTGATAAAACAGATGCTGCCTGCTCCCCTTCAAGTTATTGAAGGACCAGTGGGGTGCAGGGTGTGTCCCCAGCTATCTTCTGCAGGTTTTGAACCCCACAGACATGGTCACAGTGGTGGGGACACTGCTTGATGCACAGGATGGAAGAGCCTGAGGGAAAGGGAGCACTGCTCCACGCATGGGGTGGGATGGGAGTGGTGGAGGGGGACGAGGCATGGGGGATTTTTATTGCACTACTGTAGTGTATATGGCTGAGTGATGTTGTTCATGCTGATCTTGCTACTGCTCCTGAGGAAAACTGAAGAGCTTTTATCTCTCTGTTACCCAAACCCATCCAAACTTGGGCAGCTTTGTGTCAGCCCCCAGGCTGAGCTCAAACTCTGATGCACAGATATTTCTGAAGGCCAGGAGCCTTGCTAAAGGCCAGGCTGGGGTCTGCTTGCAGCAGGTTCCAGGGCTCTGCCCCAGTATCCCTGTGGCCTGGAACAACCCTCAGTTTAAGGCTGCCTTTCCTCCTCCTCCCCTCCCCAACAGCCTGCAATGAGCTTTATTCTCCTGTTGCAGGGTTCAGAGGGTTATCTCCAGTCTCACTGCTGAGAGCTGTACTTTATTCCACTCTTCCATAATTGCCTGTATGTGGAAAAAAAACCCCTTTATTGTCTATAAGGAGCTTACTACATCTAATAAAGGCACTGAGATGTCTTTAATTCAGTTCTGTCCTAACACCAGCTTCCAGCTGCCCTTCCCTTTTTTCCCCTTGGGCTCTTTTGTGGCCCTTTGTTATTCAGTGGACAGACTTTCTCGACCAATTTCTCTCTCACCATTGTGCCCTGCACTACTGAAACCAAAGATTTTCTTGTTCATGTGTGCTGTGTTGTGGCTCTTTCCAGTCTGGAAAAGCTAAATCCATGTGCTTCATCTGCAAAGCAAAACATCACCCTTGGGACCAGTGTTTTTATGTGAAAGGGAACTGGCCTCTCCAAGGCCCAGCTATAGAATCTCTCAATATGAAGGGCAACAGCTGACTTTGGGGTGGAGACAAGACAGGAAATTCAGAGCAATGATTTTCCCAGTGCACATCTCCCTGGAGCTCTGTGGGGCTCCTCGTTCTTGACGCTGCAGCCATGGGGTGCTGTGCAGGCACAGGGACACCTGGATCCAGGTGTTTTAGGGAAGCAGCAGTGTCCCAGCTGCACATTACACCTCCCTGGCTGAGGAGGATGTGAACAAGAGGGATCCCTCATGTGTGTAACCCAGCTGCTCCCATCCCTGGTTTGTGTGACAGCAGAAAATGGCATGCAGTGGCACAGCCCCGTGAACTGAACTTTGGGGAAGGAGAACAGAGGGCTCTCTCTGTTCCACACAGATCTGTGCTCACACAGCCCTCACCTGGAAAATGCACATCACTCTCCACCATCCAGGTGATGAAGTCCAAAAAGGAGCAGTTGCAGTGCCACAGGTTGTCACTGAGCCCCAGCAGCCTCAGGTTGGGCAAGTCCCGGACAGTGCTGGTGTCCAGGAAGGTTAAGCCAGTCCGGCTCACATCCAGGTGCCTCAGCCAGGTGTTGTTGGCAAAAGCACCCTTCTCGATGGCCACGAGGTTGGGATTGTCAGAGATCTTCAGTACCACCAGGCTGAGGAGGTGGGAGAAGGTGCTGAAGGTGACCTGTGTGAGGTTGTTGAAGCTGAGGTCCAGGTAGACAAGCCTGGCCACGCCAATGAAAGTGAAATCCAGGTCATCCCCCAAGAGGTTCTTTCTGCAGTCCAGATAGACCAAATCAGCCAGGAAGCTCAATTCCACTGCCGGCAGGTACGAGATGTTGTTTGCTGCCAAAATCAGCTGCCTGGTGTCCAGAGGGATGTCCACAGGAAACCCCTGCAACCGCTGCCCAGTGCAGTTCACCTCCAGGTACTGACAGCTACACCTGCTCGGGCAGCTGATCCCCTGCAGCGCCATCCCCAGAAGAAACACGAGGCTCAGGGACCATGAAGGAGACATGGTTGGAGACCTTCCAGGCCGCTTAGCCTTTCACGGACTGCAAGCAGCCCCGTGGCAGCCGCAGTGCCCTGCCAGCCATGCCAGGAGGTGTCCGGCTGCCAGGCTGTCGGGAAGCACTCCGTGGCTCACCTGAGCCCTTGGCAGAGTGCCCGGCTGGAAACCGAGCCTGGCTTTTACATGGGCAAGTGCGGAACAGTGGCTGGAGCGTCTCTGTCTCACACTCGGTGCCAGGTGACACCTCCGTGGTGTCAGTGGCTTGCAGAAGCTGCCTGTTTTCGGGGACACTGCTGTGACCTTGCTGACCTGCTTCCAGCTGAGCGGAGGTGCAGGAAGCTCTGCGTGGTGTGGGAGCTTTGTGGGGAGAGTGTGAACAGCCCAAATTTTGTCAGAAATGCTGTCACACTGCAGGGGGTGGTACTGGTTAGGCAAGAGTCCTGTGCAATGCTGGGCTGGCATTGTCTCCTTCCAGGAGCCAGGTTTTATCCCATCTGGAGTAGCGTATCTGGAGATCTGGAGACACAAGATCTGGGTCTGGAGATCCTGGCACAAGATGTGGAGATGTTGGAGCGGGTCCGGAGAGGCCATGAGGATGCTCAGAGGGCTGGAGCAACTCTGGTGTGGCGACAGGCTTATGGTGAGACCTCACCTAAAGGGATTTTGGAAAAGAGGAAGAGTGACTCATTACACGGACAGGTGATGAAAGAACAAGGGGGAATGGCTTCAAACTGAAAGAGGGCAGGTTTGGAGTGGATATCAGGGAAAAATTCTCCCCTGGGAAGGCGATGAGGCACTGGGTGCCCAGAGAAGCTGTGGCTGCCTGGAAGTGTTCAAGGGCAGGTTGGACAGGGCTTGGAGCACCCTGGGATGGTGGAAGGTGTCCCTGCTCATGTCACACGGAAAACTAGGTGAACTTTAACGCTCCTTCCAGGAATTTTATGACTCTTCCAGAGGCGGTGACGGCCCCGAGAACCAGAACCGGAGAGACGCCGCCGCCTCACCCCAACTTCCCCTCACGGCCAACGGCCGCGGCGGGGCGGGGCCTAAAAACCACGCCCACTCGCCACAGCGCGGCCGCTGATAGGTTAGGAGAGGGCGGGAACGCGCTAAGCCCCGCCTCCCGATGACGATGCGGCCTCTGATAGGCCAGCGAGGGTGCGGGGGCGGGGAGCGGCGGATTCAAGCGGCGGGCGCGCAGCGGAGCCGCCGTTGTGCCGCTGCCGCGTCCCCGTCATTGCTGTGTCCTGCCATCGCCGCCGCCATGGAGACCATGACCTTCCCCCGCTACAGCCCCGACGACATCATCAGCTACCTCCGCTCGCACATCCTGGAGGGCGCCGAGGCCCGCAACCTGGTCAAGGGCGACGTGTTCGGCAGCCCCAGGGTGCGTGAGGGGGGCGCGGGGCGGCTCCGCCGGCCGCTGGGTGGAACGGGCCCGGGGTGGGCTCGGGGTTCTCCTCGGGCCTGGCCGGGAAGCGCCGTGGTGTCACCAGCGGCACACGGCCCGTCTTCTTCCCCAGTTCTGCGGGAACTCGGTAAAAACAGCCACGGCGTCCAGTTCCAGCACCTTGCCGGATCCTTTTAGTGCTTTTAAACCTTTCCCTGCTCCACCCCCTTTCGTCACCCCGAGCATTTAGTGTTGGCGAGGGAAGAAAAGCGGCTTTAAAGTGGAGTTGATGCCTCCGAGTGATTCCTGGCGCTGTTGTTTCGTTTTGAGCCTGCGGTGGGAGGGGTCTGGCCCTGCTTGTTTAGATGCCTTTTAAGAAGCAAAGTTGATAATGGATTAGTGCTATAAATGAAAAATTGTCTGGCTTGTAAGTGATTTTTTTTAATCTTCATTTTAATAATCTAATGAAGGGCACTCGTTGCTACAGGATTATCATTTCTGTGACCTTTTTTTAGGTTTTTGGCATTGCTTGGTTTGGAAATTGCTCAGCAAGCAGCAGTGTAATGAAAACCAATGCCTGGCATACACATTCAGGGCTGTAATTGCCCAGACTGACTGCTGCCCCTTGAAAGTGGATTATCAACAAATAATGCTTGATCTGAAAAATGTCAAAAGTGAAACTCTGTTGTCTTGGTTGGTCTGTGAATTCAGCCTTCGTGGGTTAAAAGCTGAATGCTTTCATGGCCTGGCCTGGGAGCCCTGAGTAATCAAACATATGGAATCCTGACTCATGTCCTCTCTTCCTGCAGCTTGAGGTTTTACACCTGATTTACCTGAGAATCCTGCAGAAAGTGTGTGGGATCCGGCTGGAGCACGCCTACATGGTAGGGCTGCCTGTGGCAGGGTGGTGGGGTGTGAAAGGAAAAGGATACTGCACTTACCTGTTCTTTGGGGTGCTGAGGGTGCCAGAAATGGCTGTAAGGTCCGGGAGGGAGTGGACAAGCTTTTGGATGGTCACCATGCCTTGAAAATCCATACTGGGCTCCTGCCTTTGGCCATGGCTGGAGGAGGTTGGACTGATCTGGAAGGAATGTAAATGTTGCTGTTGATACTTGATCATCTCCACTCCTCCATTCACTGAGGGGAACATGAGGAGAGGCTGATACCCAAAGTTAATTTACCTACTGTCTCTGTTAGGCAAGAACTGATTCTTGAAAGTGAGAGTAAATGGTTTTGTCTCCTGTTTTTTCTGGATAAACTGAAAGGGAAGAGTATTATGTGCACGAGGAACTGTTCTTCCTAGGCAGTGCCAGCACCTGCCATGCTGTGCTGTGAGGTTTAAAATGTCAGAGAAAGGGGACAATGTTCCACTACATTCCCCTCCTGACTTCTTCATGAAGCAGCTGAGTGTGTCAATTTTGGGGTGTTTAAAGAAGGAGCTTCTTGCTGGTAGCTGTGTAATGTGCTGCACAAATTATGACCAAAATAAAACAGAGTTTGGATTCATTCCAGAGTTTGTAATGTTGCTGCTTTAGTTGCTATTGTATTTTTTTTGTCTTTTTCAGCCAAAGTTGACCTTTAAAATAGCTGACCCCTTGTTGGCATTTTTCAGCCTTTAACATGCTTTCCCTCTGGATGGGAAGATCATCCTCAGTGTTCTTAGTCTATGGGAATTATTATATGCTGTGGAAAATGCTGCATAATTTTTGGTTTAAGTATTCTCTACTTATGCACTGACTCTCTTTTTACTCTTCAGATGCCCCTCAACGTTGACATAATGTACCCCCAGATCCATGAAGGCTTTCTGCCTGTCTGTAACTTGTACATTCACATGTAAGTAGAAGATGCTTGCTGGGCAAATGCTCTGGGATGAGAGGACAAGCTCCATTTTGTAGCAGATGGGTACAGGACAAGAACAGAGCCATGGCCACAGGACCTGAGTCAGTCCCTGCACTGAGGTTGTGTTTTGTTCTCCTTGCAGGGAGCGCTTGCTGCCCATGTGCCGGATTAGTGACTTCCAAATTGCTGATGTTTTAAACCCAAGTAAGCAACTGCCTTGTAATCCTTGTGTTTCCTGGGGGCTGCTTGCTGTTCCAGGTGCTTTTTCTCCTTGGGCATAGCCAGATGGGCATCTAGTGTGGAGAAGTCCTTCTGGCTGCTCTTCTGACCCTTAAACAAGCTGGTTCTAGTGGACAGCTCTTGTTCCTTATGTGGGCTGGTGCAGGTCAGTAACTGAGGACAGCTTTGAATGCTGTGAATCTCTTGGGCTGTGACATATTTATAACAGTGTAATCATAGATGGGGATGAAAATTACCCTGACAGCTCTGGAATGCTTTAGGATGTCTTACGCCTGTGCTCCACTCCTTTCAATACCCAATTGTGATTCTGCCACAACACAGACAACTTGGAAAATGCTGCTCTGAAGAAATCTTTCACTTCTGGATCTGTCTTGTCTAAATTCAAAGCTTTTGTAATCATCTTTCAGAAAGTTTTCTTGGAATAAAGACAGAAAGTCCCTGCAGTTCAAATTGCTGCCTTCAGTTAGGCTGATAGCTACAGAGAGGCTCTCTCTTCAGAGCTGTAGTTCAAGATTGACACTCTTTCTCCCTGGCTGCTGTTTGAATGGGAGGCTGTGTGTTAACAGCCTTTTCTCCCAGGTGCCATTATTCATTTGTTAAATTACACAGAATTACTAAGTGTTGGTAACCAGCTTGGTGCTGGTTTTTGTGTAGTCTGAAATCTTTGCAAGCTGAGTGGGGGAAGAACTAATTTGGACTGTGGTTTGTAATTTCTGTCTCCTTGAATTACACTTGGCCCAACTTTTTTGAAGCAATTGCAATGCTTTTGGAAACCAGCTCAGTGAGCTCTTGCAATTCCTGTTTCAGAGACCAAGAGGACTGTTCGCTTCTTGAGTGGCATCCTCAACTTTGTGAACTTCAGGGAGTTCCGGCGTGAGGTCTACCTGGAGCTACAACAGAGCTATGTAAGATTAGGTGCTGATTTATTCCAGATGCCTATAAAAGTTTAACTGATATTGACCTAAAACTAAGAGCATGAAGATTGCAGTTTAACTTGAGGTTTATGTAACATGTTGGGATGTAAAATGTAGCCAAGTAATTCTGGAAGGTACTGATTATTATTTAGGATACTACTGAAAGGGTATTTTTTTGTTGGGTTGTTTTTTTTTTCTTTTCCCAATGACTTATTGGGCACTTCAGCCTGGTAAGTAAAGGATTGAGACCTCATATCATTTTGAGAAAAGTTAGGTGCAAAAGTTGGTTGTAGGTGGCTTCTTTTCTGAATGTAGTTCATTCCAAAATAGTTCAGAGATGGTGCATTTCACGTGAAATAACAATGAGCAAGGCTCTAATAAAAGCCCAGAGAGAAACCACACTTCTCTAAAATTAAATATTTAACTTGCAGAAATTAGCTATGGAGAAAAACCAACACCTGGAGGCTGTGAATCAGGAGGCTGCACTGAAGCTGGAGAAACTGAAGTGAGTGTGAGGAGTAAGCACTGTGAGATGCTCTGCTTGCTTTGCCTGCTCAGGCTGGATCAGTGGGCCAGTTGTGTGAGGCTCAACAAGTCTGAGTGCAGAGCCCCATTCTTGGGTCATAATAACTTGGTTCAGTGCTACAGGCTTGGGGAAGAGGGGCTGGAATGTGGAGAGGAACACAGGGGAGGAGCTGGGGGGATGCTGGGTGGCAGCAGCTGAACAGGACCCAGCAGTGTGGCCAAGGAGGCAATGGCACTGTTCTGTATCAGCAAGTGTGGCCAGCAGGACCAGGACAGTGACCATCCATGCCCCTATGGCACACCCTGAGTGCTGCATCCAGTTCTGGGCCCCTCACTGCAAGAGGGACATTGAGTGTGTCCACAAAAGGGCCATGGAGCTGGGAAGGGTCTGGAGCACAAGTCTGATGAGAGGGAGCTGAGGGGGTTTATTCCCTGCTGGCAGAGAAAAAAAACCCAAAAACCTTTACAGTGTTGCATTGAGGGAATCCTGTATTTGTGTGTGGAGAAACTTTTTGCCCTTTCTTAGCTTTTAGTGATGTGTCTTTATACCTCCAGCAGCTGGAGGAAGCTCATCTTTAACTTAACAGATGAGTAAAGTTGTCTTCCTTAGTTATTTGACATGTTTGCCACAATCTCTGTTTTTCAGGCCATTTAGCCCTACTGCCTGTGTCTTTGCACCATTAAGTTTTGTTTTTGCTTGTGGATAATAGGATGAAGGAATGGCTGGTTTCCAAGAGAGCTTTCAAAACAAAGTGGTTTTTTTCTGACAGCTGCTCTTGGTGTGTGCTACACAGGGGGTTCCCTAGCTGGGATAGGGCTACACTAATATCAGCTATTTGTAGGACAGGTAATATGCAAATTTCATAAATGAAAGTCACCACCAAAATTGGTAGGAGTGTTGTACTTTCATGCTTTGCTTAACATGATCTTTAAACTTATGTTTGTGCCACTTCTTGCCAAAATAGGTCTTTAGAGTATGCTTCAACTGCAAAATCTTACCAGCAAAGGAAAATGAGATATATTCATTTGAGACTGTCTTGCTCTGATTACTGAAGTTACTGGCTGTAAACTCTGTGGAGACAGTGATTGTTTTATCTGCTGTACTCTGACTGGACTATAATGGTGCTGAAAGTGCCCAATATCTTTATTTTCCCTCAGCACAGTCCCAGTTGAACACGAGGCAGAGATCAAGCAGCTCACAGAGAGCATTCGGGAGCTGGAGCAGCTGCTGAGGCAGGACTATCGTCGGAAACAAGTAGGACCTTGTTCTGTATTGCTCTGAAAACTGCTGTGGCTTCCTCTCTTCTCTTGAGTTTATTCCCTTCCCTCTAACTCCGTGGATAAAAGGGACTTCTCTGATTTAAAACAATGGCCATTGTAGCAAGATGCTGTTGGACCTTTCTTTGTTTCACTGTAAGGAATGTGAAATGTGCTTTAAATCAGACGTGGAGAATACAAAGGTAGAGTTGATTCTTTTTTTGAAAAGCATTTCTGCAGTGACTTGGGAGATGCACATCACACTTCCAACAGGAACACAGGGATGTTCCTCATTGTTTTCTATTTGAATTCAAAGAATTGGAACTGGAGGTGAGCCATGGCAAGAAATGAGGCCCAAGAAGGGGAATGCCTGGCAAAAAATAGGGTTAATTGCAGGGGTAACTTTTCAGCAGTGGAAACTTGCCTCTCAGGTCTCATAGATAACTTTTTTTGCTTCTTTGGGAGAAAGAAAATAATCTATGGTCAGGATATTTTTGTTTTGTCAAGTCATGTCTCTGTAATTAGCATTATTAACCTTGTGTTTGATTATTATTTGGGACTTTATGTTAAATTATCTTTTTCTCTGAAGAACAGAGCCCCTGGCAAAGAAAGTTGTGGGGGTATAATTGCCAGGGTCAGTGAGAATAGGGATGGCAAATTTCTTATCCCTATTCCTAGTTACCCACTGCTGGCTGTCTCCCCAGTGCTTCCAGTGGTGTTGATGACAATATTGTCCTTTCCTGTCTTTGAAGTCTTACAGACTGCAGTGTTTTCTGTGGGTTATGGCACTCCAAAGGACCCATAAATGAGATTTCTCCTGTGGACAGATCTATGATAGAAGGGTAAGGCAGGTAGCAGCTGTAGAGGTGCTTGTTGAAAGCTTGATGCTTTTTTTTTTTTTTTTTTAGACAGCTTTGCAAGAAGTGACTTCTCAAAAGAAGACAGATATTGCTGAGAGAACCCAAAAACTGGTGAGTACACCTCTGTGTGGCTGCTGGCTGCAGATCAACTGAGAGATCATCTCTCTTTTTAGGATCAGATTATTCTTGGAACTAAGTCACTAGAAATCTGGAGCTCTGAGGTGCTGTGGCTCTACCTTGCATGCACAGAGTGGGCTAGTGAGGCAGAACAGGAGGTTTTGAACTTGTTGCTCTTCTCCCAGGGTGATAGAGCTGGCTCTGGAATGCTGCAGTCACTGCCTCAGTATCCCTAGGTCAGGAGTTCTGAGGGAGAGAGAGAGCTTGTGGCAATATGGTCTGATGGGAGGGAGGTGTCCCTGCCCATGGCAGGGGTTTGGAATGAGATGCTCTTTGAGGTCTTTTCCAACCCAAACCATTCTAGGATTAGCTGGCAGGCTCTTGGTAGAAAATACCAGTTAACTGCTGTTCTTCTGCACCTCTGTAAGCAAATGTGGGAAGCAAAATAGGCTGTTGATTGCTTTGATTTGGAATGTTAATGCTGTTTAGAGGAATTTATTTTTAGAACTTCCTAATGAGGAGTGACTACACACCAAAGAACCTGTCTTAGTCACAAGACCATGGCAGAACAATTTCTCTTTGTTCACCTAATCACTAATATTGAAAGTGTTTGTGTCATTAACTAGAATGAGTGTAAAGTGTCTCTGGCTACTTTGAAAGAAGAACAAGAGCAGCTGAAATCCAAAATTGTGGAGAGTCCAGAAGAACGGAAAAGTTACAACGAGATGATGAAAGAGACTATTAAGAAACTGAAAAGATCTAAGGTGAGGTTTTCCTCTGTCCACACAAGCAGGTATTCAGAAAAAGTGTGTTTTACTGGACTGCCATCATCTGGAACTGTTTCTTGAGTGATGGTGAAACACCAGCAGGACAGTGGTTAGTCTGAAATGAAATCACAGCCTCAGAAAATTGAAGGTTTGTGGTAGAGGTGGTGGTTTATTTTTGATGGGCTGTTTTTCCCTTTTGAAAAGCAAGATTGTAGTCACTTGTAAAACCAGGTGTGGAACTCTTGAATTTATACCTGTTTGACTCTTTGCTCTCCAGAGGAGACAATATTTTGTCAGCTCCCAAATATCTTTGGATTTAGAACATGTGCTTCATAGTGCTTCTGTTGTCATTCACTGCTTCTGGAATCGATGGCTGTCTTCACTAATATGCTGAACACTGAGTTCCCTCTTAGCTTTCTGGTTTGGTTTTTTTTTTCTCATTATACTATCAACGCATTTTTGTGGTTTGAGATTGCTCACGCTTCAGTGGTTTGCACTTTGCCTCTGAAGGTTATTTTTGTTCCAAAGGTGTAAACTCAATTGCTGTAATTTCAGGTACAAAGCTTTACATAACTCTTATTTTACTAGTGTAGAATTTCTTCACTGCACAGCTTTTTATTCTGAAAGCTTGAAAAAGCTGATTACTGATTAGTTCAGTGTAAAACACTTTTATGTCACCTTTATTTCTGTGCTTCTAAATAAATGCCTCTCTTTTATTATTTTTTTTTACAAAGTGAAGAGCTCATTTTACTATCTCTTAAATATTACTTCTAAGTGTCTTGTAACAATGAGGGGAGGGTTCAAAGTTCAATATGCTTTAATTCTGTATAAAAGAACTCTAAAGCTGTTTATTGATAGTATTTTTCTCTCTTTAAAGCAAGAAGTTACTGAGAAATATGAAGGTTATAGAGATGTAGTCGAGGTTCTGCCATCATGCCAAGTGGAATTGCAGTTATACCAAAAGAAGATGGAAATACAGGGAGAAAATGTGGAGAGACTGGCCAGTGTCTCATCAGAGGTCTGTATTATCCAAATTATATCCTGTTAGGGAGAATTTGATGTCTAAGCAATGTTCCCCTCCTTCCTTTTCACTGTAAAGAATGGCATTTTGAAGTTTCCCAATTCTTTCTTAAAAATGTCAGTAAAACATTGCTGCTGCTTTGCTGGGTGGCACTAGCTAATGTACTATGCACTAGCTATTGACCACTTTGAATAGTCAAAGCCTTCGTTGCCATAGAAACCTGACCTAAAATAGTTGGAGCTGTCTTGGGGTTGTTGGTAGGAAATGATGGGAAAAGAAAAGTGAAATCGAGTTTCTTCTGCCTTGAGAGTGGAAGCTAAGAATAAAAAATTGTTACTTCAGGAAGAGTCACGCCTTAAGTGCCTTTAAATTTATTAATATTACTAAGCCAGACATTCTCTGATGAAATGTTTGTCACAATACAGTCCCTTGCTATTTGCCACCAGGTTTTGGGAGAATGCAGTTGTTAGGAGCAATTCAAAAAATGGTATGGAGTCTTTTTGGGTATTTGTATGGCCTGTGTTCAAATGTGGCTTGGCAAAAAGCTGTAGCAGAAGTCACAGTCACTTCTGAAAGTCATCCTAAGGGTCTTGTCCATTTGGATGTATTTATAATCAGAGAAAGACCAGGGAACTGGGATGAGGAGTTGGCAATCAAACCTTCAAAAAGCAGCCAGCTAATTGTAATCTTAGCACATTTACAGGCTATGCTGTCTTGATAATTTCCCACCCCCATTTAATTAATTTCTATTTCATTTATCTCTGTACTTCTGTACTCTAGGCCAGAAATCTGGAGGACCAACTTGAGAGTGCTCAGGTAGAGCTGAAAAAGGCCAAGACAGATGAAATGTCCCTGAAGAGAGTGGTCACTGCAAAACATGAGAAGCTTGCCACAGCTGAGATCCAGCTTAAAAAGATGCGTGAAGACATTGAGCAGCACAAGTGCACTGTGCTCGAGTATGGAGGAGCTGATGTTTCTGCCTGCTGCTGCTTTATGTCTTTGTTATGTGCTGCCAAAGTCCATGTCTGCTACAAACACACAGCTTAGCAGTGAGGGGAAAATGAGCAGTGTGGGACAGCTCTGTAGGAAGACCAGTAATGCTGCAGGCAGGGATTTGGGGTCTCAAATCAATAATTGCAATGTGACTTGACAGCAATTCTTTTATTGGAGCACTAATTTAATTTATAATGCTTATTCTTGATTCTTTTATCTTCTTAAAGAGAATGTCACATTGGGATAATTTTCCAACTTATCAGACTTCAACAAAGCCCCATTTGCCTTTCATGAATTTTTCATAATTTCCCTTGCCACTTTTGCTCATTATCAAAGATGTTCAAGACCCATGGGGAAATGGGGCTCGCATCTCAGAGGAGCATTATCCTGACATGATGCTTCTAAAACAAAAGGAAAAGTGTCATTTGATCAAAGCCTCTCAGCCCCTCTTCCTTCCTCCCATATGCTGAAGGCAGCACCAAACTGCAGCCCTGGAAGGTCCTGGCTTCACTGTGAGCTTAGTGCTGAACTGCTAGGGAGAAAATTGATTTTTAAACAATTTTCATCTACACAGATAAAGAGGAAAGGGAATATGGAACATTATTGGCTGGGGTGGAAGGGAGCTGCTTGCACATGGCTGAGAGAGTCAAGTAAGATTTAGCCATGCTTGAGGTTTGTGTGGTGTGCAGAATGGCACTTAGTGTGTTGTACCAGCTAAAGGGGATTATGTGGGAGGAAAATATGTTGGGCATTGGGAGGGATTTCTGGACAGAAAGGTGCTTGGACCTTGGCATGGGCTGCCCAGGGGGGTGTGGAGGCACTGCCTCTGGAGGTGTTCAAGGAAACACCAAGTGCCCTGGTCAAAGTGACAAGGGGGTGTTCATGGGTTGATCTCAGAGGTCTTTTCCAACTTTAATGATTCTGTGAAAAGTAGCTTTTGATTTAGCAGTGAAAACAACATAATCTTACTCTCTTTCTTTGAGAGTTGCTGCCTATTTCTGTTTTTAATGTGTCAGGTATTTCCCTTGAGTGATAAAATTAAATGCTTTGATAAGCAGGAGGGGAAGAGAGGTAACCTCAGTTGAAGAAAAGAGTTTTAGTTGGTGAATAAAAGAATATGTCCTGACTGTTCCCTTGAGGTGGGAAGGTGTAACTCCTGCTGAGTTTCACTTCTTGTACCTAAGTTGTTGTAGTTTAAAAATCACAGTAATTTCTGAGAAAGTAAATTCTGTATATCATTGCTTCTGGAAGCTGCTGATTTTATGCTCATAAAATGCAAGGTTTGCTCACTGTGGGCTTCAGTTTATTCTGGAATGAGCCATAAGCTCAGTACTAACTTTTTCTTCCTGTCACCTTTAGACATTTTAACAAAGTCCAGGAGAAGAGGGGTGCTGTGTATGACAAAGTTATGGCCATTCGCAAGGAAATCAAACAGAAAAAGGACAAAATTGAGCAGCTGAAGGACGATGCTGAAGAAAAAGCAACAAAAGCCAAGGTGAGGGGGTTTTTTTACCCCCAAAATCTTCTTACATTCCTGTTGTAGTGTGGACAGTGCAATGACCCTCTAAGCAGCCTCCCCTGTGTTCTGTAAATGCTGCTTCTTAAGCTATGGATGAGATACCCCTGTGTTCATTTGAGTCCACTCACTTGACATTGATGCTTGATAAAGATTTCACTTTGCTGATGGAATTTTTTTCCCCTTCTTTATTTTCTCTTTCCAGGAAATACACCTAATTTTGAAGGCTGTATTGGACAAGTGTCATGAATCTCTCCTTAAGGCAGTAAAGACTTCTGCAGCCTCAAGAGCAGAAAAAATTGATGAAATAAGGGAAGGGCTGTTCAGCATTCAATCTTCTGTAAATGCTTCTTAAGCCTGTCTGAACTTGTGTTCTACTTTTCATTGTGTTCGTGCTCATACCTGAACTCGAGAGCTTCTGCTTTGCAGGGGAGGGATAATAATTGCAGGCAAATCCAGCTTTCTCCAAAACCATGTCAGAACATGTTTAGCTTTCCAGGCTGATCCTGATGTCATGAGCTTGCTGATGATGTGGATAAGAAAACACTCAGTTTCTGGTGTTTCAATCTGCATCTGGTTTTAGTGGTGATATTGCAAGCCTTGCTATCACCAAACTGCTCAACATTTTAGACAGAACCCTGCATTTGTAGAAACTGTTCTGCAAACTTTGATCTGGGAACTCCTGCTGCCTTGGTCTGGCTTGAATGTTCAAGATAAGTCAGGAACAGGTGATGCTCCACCACCATTATTCAATCAAGATGAAATCCTGACAAAGCAGTAGCATCCACCTAAATGCCAAGTTGCTCTCATCATAAATATTTCTAACTGTAAATACTCAAATACCATTTAAATATCATTTTAGTTAACATTACACTCCCTGTCAATGCTTGAACTCATTGTGTCTGCTTTGTGGGGTATTGAACCCTCATCTGTGTTCATCAGTCTGTGTTAGGATGCTGTTAAATGTAGATTGATGTTTTCTACCTTAACTTGTGAGTGGTTTTCATTATTTGGAAAAAAATAAAGTGTTAATTTTTACGCTAGTTGATATAAAGATATTTAAACCTTTTTCTCTTGGGTCTTTCCACTCCCCTAACTGACTTTGCATAAGATTTCAGTTGAATAATGTTGCTGTGCACATTTGTAGGAATGTGTGCTATGAGCAGTCTCTTGTGATGAAAGGAGGAGGATGATTCAAGCCATCTTTCAAATTTTAATTCTTCATCTCTCACCAGCTAGCAAGTCAGTCAGGAAGAGCAGGTGCTTGTTCCTTCTAGAGCTCTTTTGAAGGCATCAGACCCTTCTAAAGTTTTGCTTTAAGCCTTTTTTTTTTCAACTGTAACAGAATTGTTTAATTTGAAAAAGCTCTCTAAGATGAAGTGCAGCCATTAACCCAGCCCTGCCCCCTCCACCACTAAGCCCTTGTCCCCAAGTGCCACCAGTGGACTTTGGAATATTGCAGTTGTATTTCCTTCTTTACAAAGACTGGCTGGGGAAAGAGATTCCCAAAAACTTCCAACATCCTGCAGGGGATTATTCCAATCAGCAGGCCAAGATTCTTAGGCTACAGAGATGATGCTTGTGTATCCCAGTGATGAGGAATTTGCAGGACAAAGAAAAAGTTGGAGTCTGGTTCCTGCTCTCAGAGATTTTGGGTAAAATAAAAGGCTGCAATTCATGAAGAAACAAAAACCTGGAAATCAAGTTTTCCTATTTCCAATAGGTTCTTGTGCTTTCACTGCTGCTTTGTACCTAGAATACTTACAAATAAAACATAACTAAGGCATGATTTATCTAGAGATAATTGATTCTAGGTGTGAATTAATTCCTACTGGTGCTTGTCAAAAACTTCTACCCACCTTGAACCATATGGCAAGACAGTGGGGGGAGTTTAGTGGGGCCTGGAGAGCAGGGAAAGGAGAAGGGTTTTGCTGAGGCAATACAGCTCCCTTTCCCTCAAGAGGGCAGTGTTAGTCAAAATATTCTTTTTTTTGTTGTTTTTGTTTTGTTTTTTTCCTAATCTTTCTGCCTTAGCTACTGTTTAAAAGTGTAGGTTTTTTTTTTTTTTTTGCTTGTACTTTAGTATTTAATGTACAACATAAAGCTTGTAGCAAGTTTGCATCATGCTGCTTGGGCTGGCCACAGTTTTTTGAAATGTGTGGAGTTATTAACAATAATCTATCTCTACACAAGTTTTTTAGTTCTGCAAGCAGAAAAAATAATGGTGGCTAAGGTGGGAAATGGGTTAACAGGACACCTTTTAAGGGATGGAAGGAAATCTCTTTATCACTCCTCTCTTGCCTTTACACCACACCGTGGCTGGAAAGATCTTCAGAGCTGTCTCAAAAGTCAGATTTTGTAGGTTTTAGGTGGGAATAGGTGAGCCAGGTTTGTATTTTCATATTTCCAGCTGCTGGGGCAGGGGGATGAGCTGCAGAGGAGCTGGAGTGCTGGCCACTTGGTGGGGATGTTGGCACGGAGAGTGGCCCTGGATCCACGTTCCATTCCTGCCACAGCTCTGCTGAGGAAGCCAAAGGAAAACCTGCTGAATCCTCAGCTTCAGGATAACAGCTTTTCAGCACTCATATATTCCAGGGCCAGGTAAGCTACAAGTTCAAACTTAGTGACATATATTTCCATCTAAAGATATGACCCTCGATGCTGCCAAAGCAGGAGCTACTCCGGAGGAAGGAGCCTGCACTGGGGAGTCTGCTCCCTGTTATTTCTGCAGGGGAATTAGGAGGGGGTGTGAAAGGCTCAAGTGCGTGTAAATCACGAGGTTGTGAGGTGCAGATAAAGAAATCTGGCAGATAAATGCACCCGTGTGTTGAGGTCTCTTGTAGCTAGGGCACATTTTGGAAATATTCTCTTGATGTTTCCATCAGGCTCGTTAAAGCCAATCCTTATTATGACACAGTAAAATAAATGGCTGGAGATACCTGGAAAATAAGACCAAGGAAAACTTGGAGCTGAACATCCAAATTCTCGTTGCCTGCAAATTTCCTTTTTCTGAAGGAAAAGCTGTTTCTTGACATGCTATAAATGGGGAAACTATGTGAGAAGATAAAGTTGCAGTTGCAGGAGTTCCCGTGTGATTTTTCACTGAAAAGTTTTATTACCATGAAGCTTTTGTCCCTTTTTCCCCAGGAAGAAAAGACAGCAAGGTGTTCAGGAGCTGAGTTTCTGACGGGCAGCACATTAAACAGTCCTTACAGCAAAGGGAGAGTCTGGAGGCTGGGACAGTGATACTGAGAAAGGCAATCACTGAAAAATGTATTTGCAAAGAGAAATGGGCGTTAGAGGGGGGGAAAAAAAAAATCACTGTTTTTGCAAGCTGCAAGTCCACCTGGGGAGGAGTGGGAGAGGCCAGTGTTTGTAGAAAATGAACAAACAAAAGGAGGGAAAACCCAGGTTATGTTGGGGTTTCCATAGCAACACAATGCTTTTCCTGGAAAACTCAGATGATGAGATCTAATCTATCTGCTGTTTAACTCTTGCATGCAGAGCCCTTCTCTTGCCTTACCTGTCTCCTCCACAGCACAGTCCCTTCTGATGGGTGAGCTGTCACTCCACCACGGTGGTCTCCGTGGGGAATGATGTTCCTGAGCCAAGGCTGCTCCTGCTCTGTCCAAAGCACACAGAAAAGGAAGAGCTTAAGAGGCAGAGGCACCTTTTGTGTGTAGGGAGGACTTGCCAGGTGTGCTGACCCTGAGCAGCCTCTGCCTCAGGTCTGTGGGAGACTTTCTGTGCCTGTTTGGAGAGTTCATCAAAGCAGCCTGACTCTAATTTGTGCCTGACTCTAATTTGTACCTGGTGTTTTGCCTGCTGAAAAGCCCCAGCTGTGGGAATCCTCGGTGGCTTGGGAGTTTCTTGTGGAGGAAGGTGGAAGGGTGGCAGCTTTTGCCTGACAAAAAGGACAATTGGGAGAGTGGGCAGCACTACGAATGTTCATGAGATGGCTACTGCTCTCAAAAATGTAGAAAGGAGGGTTTGTTTTGGGGAAAGAGTGGGTGTGAGACCCTGTCCTGGTGCAGCAGAGAGGAAATGGATTCTGCTCCCTGCCTTCTGAGCAGGCTTTGCAAGAGGGGGTGAAAGGGATGGAAGAGGCAGAGTTTTCTCAGTTTCTGGGGTCCCCTGCATGGTAAGTAGTCACAAAGAGAGGGTGGTAAGAGAAGGCAGGGATCCCAAAGGATGCTGAGTGTGTTGTCATAGAATCAGGGAATGGTTTGGGTTGGAAGGAACCTGAAAGCTTGCTCCAACACCCCTGCCATGAACAGGGACATCTGCTACTGTCCCAGCTTGCTCCAAGCCCCATCCAGCCTGGCCTTGGGCACTTCCAGGGATCCAGGGGCAGCCACAGCTTTGTGGGCACCCTGTGCCAGGGCCTGCCCACCCTCACAAGGAAGGATTTCTTCTCTGATGTGTTTGTTACAGCCCTGTTAGGGGCCTGGCAGTGACCAACCCCTGCAATATTCTGCAAAAGCAATATTCTGTTTAATTGGTGGGCTTTATGTTTGTGGGTTTTTTTTCCTCTCTGACTGTTCTGTTATTAACCTGTTATTGCTTATTGAGCCCTGAAGATTTGTGAATAGAAAACAACCATCATTACAATATTTAAAAGAAACCCAATTCAGAGGGGTTCAAAGACCAGTAATCCAGGTATGTGCCAATAAATAGGAAGCAGTGCTTTATTATCTCTTCACAAACCATCCCCTATCTTTAAACATTTATTATATTCCCTGTTATTTCTCCTGACAGCCACCTGTTCAACTTGTGACCTGTTTGTAAAAATCTGCACACCATCTATCAGAGGGATGCACTCACTTACAAACTTCTGTTCTGTGGGCATTGAGTAAATTATTTCTTTAAGATCATATGGCAGATCTATAATTAATTAAACCCTCCATGATATTAGTGCAAAATAATTTCGCCTTTCTAAAAAGGTAAATGTAATTTGCCGATCTGGTATTTGGAAGAATGCTTTCCCCAAAATCAATTCCTTTAGTTTCCAGAGAATAGAAATGAGAAGCAATCTCATTTTAATTATATCTCTTTATTGCTAACAAAGGAATGATTTATGCAATTAAATTAACTGGCTAGAAAATTATTCTCAGCTGGGCTGTCCTAATTCTTTGCTTTCTGAATTGCAGGCTCTTACACTTCTCTATGTAGATTAATTTTTCTGATATGCAAACAATGCTCCTTGTGTTCATTTTTAACATTTTTTATTCACAGCTCCCCTTTTCTTAGTGTCAATGACATGAGTAATATTTGTGCACTGCTGGGCTCCGATTCAGGCCTTTTTTTATGCAGAAAGATTGGGGGGAAAAAAATCTTTTCTTTTGAATCTCATTATTGCAGAGCAAGGTTTTGAAGTTTTCTTATCTATTGCTGAGAAACAGCAGCAGGAACATGGAGGGACTGCAAAGATGTCAAAGGATGCAAACTTTTGACGGAAAATGTATCAGCACTGGGGAGACAGGTGAATTTGCAGTTGGTGTTAAGAAAGCATTTTTTAATGTATTCCTCTTATACCTCTGTCTCCTTGCAGCCAGGCAAAAAGCTGAAACACAAGGGGAAAAAAAATGAGACAGATTTATGTCGCACACAGACTCAATAGGGAACAAATTTGGGATTTTTTTTCTCTTTCTGCCTGGGATTACCTTGCAGTGGCTGGCCAGAATGCAAGCTTTACAGATATTTGGGCTGAGGGGAAAATTACCATGTAACAACACATTGTGACCATGTGCCAACACAGCCTGACATCCCCTGAATGGGGCATTGGTGTAATGTGCTGCTCTAAAGCAGCAGTGAACATATTGCAGAGCACGTGTTGGCTCTGTCTGAGCTGTCCTGCCCTGTATCAGTGGAGATGTGTCAGCTGGGCAGGGTTTGCTGTGCTGGCACTCTGTGCTGCTGTCAGACGGCTCTGAGCTGAGAGAAAGGAGCTTTGGGTTGGATGTTGGGAAGAAATTCCCCCCTGTGAGGGTGGGGAGGCTCTGGCACGGGGTGCCCAGAGAAGCTGTGGCTGCTCCATCCCTGGCCAGGCTGGACATGGCTTGGAGCAGCCTGGGATGTGGGAGGTGTCCTTGCCATGGATGATCTCTTTTAGGTCCCTCCCAACCCAAACCAGGCTGGGATTCTATGAAATTAAGTAAAAAACCCCAGGGTTTTTTGTCTGGGTTGGAACGTGGAAAGGTCTGTGCCACTGGGATTCTGAAGGCTTGTGAAATTCCAGATAGGAAGGACCAAGTTGTGATCATTTGGGTGGGACAAGGAAGCATTTTGGGCCTCTGTCCTTGGACTGGGGATGATCCAAAGGGAATCTTTCCTCTGGGCTGCATGGCTGCTGGCTGGGTGAGGGAAGGGGCAGTTGGTGCAATGCCTCTATTGACTGCAGTTGTTCTCCTTGTAAAATCAGCATAAACTCAATTTGCTTAGCAAGTGGGATCACACTTATTTATTGGAAGAACATTTCTCAAAGAACAGTTGCCCTTGGCTTACTGTCAAGAAGTGATTTTTAAATTTTTTTTTTAATTAAAAAAAAAATTTCCCCTAGTTCTGCAAATTCCCTGCACTGAGTTCAGTTCTCCTGCATGAATACCTTGGCTCATACAGGAAATAATCCTTTGCAATGCCTCAGGAAGATGCTGTGAGGTGTGAGTTTACCAGCAGTCTGCAGAGAAGGCTTTGAGTTCAATATTATCTATACAGCAGGAATGGTTAGAAATCAATAAGATGAAATTCATGACAAATGCTACCTTTAGG